GATAGAGCTATCCAGTATAAATAAAGTTAGTTTGGTTTAGGTTTCCTCCTGTAGTAACACTGGATCAATAAGAGATGATCCTTACTGGACCTTTAGGAAGAACAGTTTAGAACTGATAGAGCTATCCAGTATAAATAAAGTTAGTTTAGTTTAGGTTTCCTCCTGTAGTAACACTGGATCAATAAGAGATGATCCTTACTGGACCTCTAGGAAGAACAGTTTATAACTGATAGAGCTATCCTGTATAAATAAAGTTAGTTTAGTTTAGGTTTCCTCCTGTGGTAACACTGGATCAATAAGAGATGATCCTTACTGGACCCCTAGGAAGAACAGTTTAGAACTGATAGAGCTATCCAGTATAAATAAAGTTAGTTTAGTTTAGGTTTCCTCCTGTAGTAACACTGGATCAATAAGAGATGATCCTTACTGGACCTCTATAGGGAAAACAGTTTAGAACTGATAAAGCTATCCAGTATAAATAAAGTTAGTTTAGTTTAGGTTTCCTCCTGTAGTAACACTGGATCAATAAGGGATGATCTTTACTGGACATCTAAGGAGAACAGTTTAGAACTGAACTCATTGTCATTGAGCTATCCAGTCATAAATAAAGTTGGTATAATTGATAGTTTAGATTTCCTCCTGTTAAGTAGTAACACTGGATCAATAAGAGATGATCCTTACTGCAACTGGATCTCTGAGACGAAATCTGTACCTGATAGGGTTATCCATGCAGTATAAATAAAGTCAGTTCAGTTTAACTGCAGCAAACAAATATAATTCAATCAATATGAAACTACGAATAAGTCCAATATTTAAATAATTATCTACATTCTGCATAAAAAACTCATTCACATTCATTAACATGCATAATCTATATCTATGATACAAAGAAGTGTTTATAAAGACTTAAAGTATTATAACTTCATAAGAAAACTGAACAGTAATCCGAACAATACTCTATACTTTATACTGTACAATGTAGCTGGTTTAAGACTAAGCACTATATATCGTGCAGCAGATGGTGATCAACCTGCAGTTATCAGAGTGAGAAAATAAATGTAAATTATTTTCGTTATATATTAATATAGTACTCTTCTCTGTCTCTTGTATTTCGTGGCAAATAGATAGAATTGAGATACATATAGTTTAATCTTGGTGCTTCGAAAAGTGTCAACACATTTCTGACTAAGTTGACCATCATTTGCCGTGCTGTAACGCTTCCATACAACTCTTGATAAAACTTGTTAAGAAACTCAATAATTCATGAAGAAAATACAAAGTCAAAGGAAATCATTTCCAGGCCGGTGGTTTTATATGTGATAAAAAATCATGTTCATTTACATAAACTTTAGCTTTGATTTTCTCGGTTTAGACAATGTTGATTTTTAAAATTATTTCGCCAATGAACTCATCAGATAGGTCGTTTTTTAAGCCATTTAAAACCCTCGCAGTTCGTGTTTTATCAGATATAGAATACTCGAGCTGCGCTCTCGTGTTTTATATCTAATAAAGCACTCCTGCTTGTGTTTTAAACAGTACGTATAAAACATACAGTATATACTACACAGGGATGGATCCAGCATGATCTGGTAGGGGGGGGGGGGGGGGGGGTGCTCTGCCAGCTCTGGTGTCGGTCATGTGTGCCGCCCACCCATCAACTTGCTTCACTACTGCAAAGTCTTGCTTGACTACTGTATTTGGATTGTAATTGTTGTTCACAGTTCGCTTATCATCATGTTATTACTTAAATTACTGCATCTCATTTTGCCGCTAATAATTTTTTGCTTTATCATGAAAAATAGCACCCCCCGCACCCCCTCTGACCAGGGCTAGGGGGGTGCACCCCCCCCCCCCAAGTAAATCCATCCCTGATACTACAATATATATAAACTTATAAATCCTATGTCATAGTTCGTCCACGAGCTGCAGCCTGCTGTACTCCAGTAGAATCAGCAATCATTCCAGACAGACACACCGCACAATGGAAATGGTAGAATATACACATCGGTGTGGAGAACAGCGTAATCGCAAACCAAGCCATTGAGCCAAAATACGTCCGACCGACGTAATCAAAGTAATATTTACTTCGAAAGGTATATGTACGAATTACCCAAAAGCCAACACTCACTGTTATGCAGAACGATGCAATCTGGCGAATGGCTTTGACTGCTTTATCTCCATTTTTGGACAAAAGCAAAGGCATTTGGTAAAAGTACGAGGCAAAAACAAATGCAGTTAGGCAGCTGATTGTCACTAGTTCTCCAAGCGAAGTCAAACCCAACATAAACATTTCACCCCGATAGGATTTCAGCGTTTCAGCAACGCTAGCGAAAATAGTGAACAGGTCGAGGATAAGGAATCCGAGGGCTGAAGAACACAACAGAATTAGATCGACTTGTAAAGGTTTTGTGTCCGTAACTCGTTTATAATGCTTCCTAAATAGCCATAGTCCTCCGACACTGCATACAAAGATAATAAACAATAGCACTGCTTGAACGCTGTACAAAAATGCAGCATTTGTATGACTGTACTCGACGGTTGAATACACACCAACACATCCCATCAAAGGTAGGCTCAGCAGACCAGCGATGAATCCAAACCGCCAAACGTCCCATTTTTTGTTTGCAGCTCCGAACTCACCGGCTGACGGTGTTTCAATTTCCAGCCACACATGTAGCAATAATGCCGAGGCAAGCAGCGAATATTCCATGGCAAACGTGTATTGATACGGTACCATTCCTTTCACAAACTCGTGTAGCTTTCGTGATTCAGAAGAATTCCCAGTGTTGTTTAAACTGCTGGCGCACAAGTCTTCATTCTTGCCGTAATAATAGCGTCTTAGCCATGTGACGTTTTTCATATCAGGGTGCTTCACTGCTCCTGCACAAAAGTACCCAGCCCAAAGGGTCAGGTTTATGGCGAGCGTGAACATCGTGAAATAATTACCGAACCAAAGTTTTTGTTCTCTTCGCCGGGAAAGCGTATAAAAGACATAAATCTGGATATATACGAATAACGTCTCGAAAATAGCCGTAGCAAGGTAGCTTTTATCCAATCCAGATACACTCCGAGAACATTTGGTCCAGTCGAGCACCACGATAACTTGAAATGCTGTATTACACACCCCGAAAAGCACAAGACCGTTCAACAAGTGACTTGGCATAAGGGGTTCAAAGGCTTTATTCCTCGTTCTGTGATTGCTGTTTCTAAGGTGTTTAAAAACCAGCCACAAGGTCCACAGAATAAAAACAGCGATAAGTCCAATTATATAGTAATGGAAAACTGCTGGATTGATATCACGAGCTGCGCCGTCTGACTTTATGTGAACAGATATAATCAAAGTTAGCCCGGCAATCAATGGCAGCAAGAATACGATGAAAACACTACAAAATCGTTGTGTGCTGCTTGCTTTAGACTTCGAATTTGCAGATCCGTCCTGTTTTATCGGAATGTTGACTATCACTTCATCTAAATTGCTGTTTCCTTCATCCTTTGGAAGTAAAGGTTCTTCCTCTTCACAGCTACCATATTTCCTGTTGACTGGTATTTCAATGCGAGCTGCGCGAGGTTTCAGCCGTCGCTTTCTCGAAGACGAAGTACTTTTAGCCTCGCTAGTGCTTGGGGTTGTACTATCAGACTTGCTTTGTCGATTCTTGCGAGGTTTCGAAGCATTTTTATTCGATTCAACATCACTGCTTCTGTGACGCTCTTTATCTGTTGCCAAAGCCAATGGCTCTGTGTCGTCTGTACTCTGTCGGAGCGAACTGCAATCGTTCACAAATCTTAGTGCAAATGGTGCTGCTTTTGCCATCGTACTGTTTCTTTAAAGACTGCAGACAGTTTGTAGGAAATTCAGATACGCAGAATAGAACTGTGCTATATCGATATTTTAGCTCTTAATTCCCGGAAAAGATACTTTGAAATCAGTGTGAACGTTTTTGGCTCGACAGCAGACAAAGACTGGTTTCAAACTAATTAGTCAAGGACATTCGAGCGAATACTCTTTGTCGCCAATTCAAATTTGCAGAACTGTTATAAATTGTTCGCTATATGTAATACAGTGCTTCCTAGAAAATGATATTATGGAATTAGTACCAATATTTTTACCTGGTAATGGTACAGTCGATACTGTATATAGCAAGCAGATAAGTATTTCCTGCTTTGACATAAAATGCTATAAATATTAAATCGCCATATACATGTATTTAGTTTTTCTTAATATATGATGCTTTGGAAATATGGTGTACATTTTTACCTGGAATGTCGTTTCAAAGCTACCAATTCGAGGACAATCGAGCGCGTTAATTGAATAATAAACGAAGTGAATCTTTCTAGACCAGTGCACACTTTGTAGCAAATTGAAGTTCGTGTTACTGTATAGTGTTCCCTTCACGAATTTAGTATACTTCCTAGAAACGAATACTTCAGAATTAGTGTCAATATTATTGCACTTTTTACCCAGAAAATGGTTTCGAATTCGCCATTCCAAGAACACTTAAATTCAAGGGTGTATTGCTCGCTGCTTTGTTTAGACTTTAATTCTCGTGAATTCAGATTGATTCAAGTTATAGATCGTACCTCAGTACTGCGCTATGTCTATGTATCTTGTAGGTCGTCGTAGCAATTGATATATTAAGAATAACTATCAATGTTTTTACCTGCAAAATGCTTTCGGATAGCCACCAAAACAGACGACCAAATATAAAGGTAATTCCCCAAACGGAAGCCATTCGTTTCATTTGATCATACCTAATTTTAGTGTGCGGTGACAACTAATTTGTGCAGTGATCAAAGTAAAATGTGCAGTGATAAAATGTAAAATGTGCAGTGATAAAATTTGCCGTGATAAGTTGGTAACAAGAAAATGCATGCCCCTGGAACTCCTCTACTCTAGAAGTTTGTCACGCATAATTAAGCCGCCTTTCGTCTTAAAAAATCAGGTACGCAGTTGATACAATAACAAGAAATTTGATTTTCGATTTACAGTAGTACTTGGAATGAGATTAGTGGAATTGCATATTTGCATAGTCATGGAATCATGTTTCAATATTGACAACAAAAATAATTTGACACAGTGTATGTAATCTAAGCTCTTTTAGCACATATTGAAGAAATAAACCCTGGTCATAGAAGACCACTGGTTATTTATCCGCCTAAGTTCTAACATAATCTGGTTGATCTAACCAGAACGGTCGGCTGGTGATGTGCTTGTCATAACCAACCTGGTAATGGCTCTAATTAGCATTTCTCACGAAGGCCAAAATCCTCCATTTTTTTGGTACTGTCTGCCCTCGTGAAAGATTCTAGACAATTCAAACAACGTGAAAAGCAACTTTTAAAAGTTGTTACTGTAAATTTACCATTATACAAACAACTACAGCACTAAAAAGTTGTATTTGGTGGTGCCCCCAAAATGGCGGAAAAATCGACCATGAGAAAGGCTAATTAAATGCTATTGCCATAACCATCCAAGCTGGATAGTAGCGACTTTAAATGTTATTGTTCGAGATTACACCAGAATTACAATTATGCATGACATAACTGGTTGAGACGTACTATAGAAAATTCACATATTTTTATGACAAACTCCATGTTGAATCATGTTCCACTTTTTAAGCCCCCGCTCCCCCCAACTCAATGTTGAGCTTGCGTCATGGTATATTACCAAACGTTTGTTTCGGCGTTGTTCACAACATTGAACTGGGGAGGAGGGGGAGACAAAGTTTGTTTTGTTAATGTTCAATAACTTTGTAATATTGTATATTGGCTGGAATGGTCTCAAGGGTTTTGTCCAGGATTGTAGCTTTTAAAATCTTTCTCATGCACAAGAATGCCGGCAGAATGTAGAAAGACAATAGTGGCAGGGAATATCTAAAGAACTGCCCAGATCTTTGCTTAGGGGAAAAAACTCTATAGGGAGGCCAGCTCTAGTCCAACCAAGGATGGATTTACTAGGGGTGTGTGTGAGGGGAGGAGTGCACCCGTAGGCAAAAAATGCCAAAAAATATTAGAGACAAAATGAGATACAGTAATTTGAGTAATAACAGTGGTCAAACAAGTGATGAGCGGGTGGCACATATGACTGAAACACCTCGGTACCAGAGCAACCCCCCCCCCCTACCAGATCATGCTGGATCCATCCCTGAGTTCCATCCCCGAGTCTAACCCAGATGTCTTCGTACAATTCGGACAAACACAATAGTTTGGTAAAAAGTTATTTATTTATTTGCTTGGTTCAAAAACGACAAAAGACAACCCTAATCTATATTATAAAACATACAAAATATTGAGTTTTCAACTACAAAATAAGGAAAATGATAAAAATACATTATTTAAATTAACATGCAACAATTTACATGGATCAGATTTAATGATTCTATCACATAAAATATCTATGTCCACATGCAGACTAATTATACTAAGCACTATCACGCAGCAAGTGGTTGTCAATCTACAGTTAGCTGAGCACTGAGAAAATGTTTTTTGTGGCAAATATTTAGAATTGGTAGTTTAACCTTCTTGTTTGTGTAAATGTGAACATTTCTAATGTTGGTTCTCAGTTGCCCTGCAATGCTTCTACTGAAAGTCGCCAATAGAACTTTATGAACAATTTAAATTTTTAAAACTACAAACTGTTTCTAACTTTTATCAACTGGTATGAAATGCTAGAAACTAACACATATTTTTATCAAGTGTGACATGGAATTTTATACAAACTATTGTCAACAAACTATTACCAACAGTTTTCAGCTGTTACCGCCTGTAAGATACAAACTATTGCATTGGGTCATTCCAGAAAACACCGGCCCAGTGCCGTAGCCAGAACGATAATTGGGGGGGGGGGGACATATTCATATATTTGTGTTCACATACCATAAAAACAATTGATTTCAAAAGAAATTAATAAAGCACAACACGAATATATGAATATGTGCCCCCCCCCCCCAATTGTTCTGGCTACGGCACTGCACCTGCCCCATACCTCCTCCACAAAGGAAATTGGAAGTTAAGCTCCCTACCCCTTTGGACTTCCTAATGCAATTACTATTATCAGAAACAAATGTTTCTCTGTTCTCCCTCCGGATGGCAGAAATTTCCTTCTTGGGGGATAGGGTGGATTTTTTCTAGAATGACCAATTGTCACAAACTATTATCAACAGTTATCACCTGGTTACCACCTGCTATGGTCACCATCATGTATGCTGTACGGCAGCGTGCGACAACGACATGCTGGCTGCAGCCGAGCCTGATAATGTCCGAGACTTACTGATGCTGTAATGGCCGAGTATCAAAACCATACACACTGCGCCATGAAAGTGGAAAAACACAGCAAGCGGATACACGAAATGGGAGAGATAAAACCATACTTCTTCCGTATAGAACTGCTCGACAAGAGGCACGACTTGGGTTGATTTTTTCACTTCGAATGTGTACATCGCCCAGAAGCATATATTCAGCATAAACAGGAACGATACCACCTCACGGATATTCGGAGCAGCGTTGGTGACAACTTCATTAGCTCTCTCTGGAAGCCCATGTTCCAAAGCTTTGCGAACGAACAAGGTGAACGTCACAGAGCATAGCAACTCGGTGATGTTTGTCACAATAAGTAGAGTGGCAATCTCCGGCGACTCACTCGTTTCGCAAATCGCTGCAACAATGATTAACAAATCGAGAAAGAAGACACCAACCAGTGCAACGCCAAGCAGGATAAAATCAACTTGACTCTCGGGTTCACCTTCATTTATCTTTTCAAGCTGGAGGATGCCAAACACACTTGCAATGAGTATGGACAGGAAGAAAAAGCACTGCATTCCCACGTAAATAAGTCGATCATTTTCTACGTCATCCGAGAAAAACAGGTTGATTATGATGGCCGTAAATGCAGGGATGTAAGCCAAGCCAAAGATGAAGCCGAACCGCCACAGTGTACCCACTTCGGGCATTCTTTCTGGTTTCTCAACAAGTACGTAACTATCATCAGTGATAAATCCTGTGTCCATGTCCGAATCCTGAGTAGTGCTTCCATGACCCCTACGGCTTGTCTGTTGTCCTTTAGAACCCTTTCCTCTACGTTCATCCGAATCTGTACGACCCCCATCCGAACCTGTACGACCCTCCTCAACCCTCTCGTTCCCATTTTGGTCTGTGGTCTGAGCACTGCTGCGCAACGATAACCAAGCATTCAACAACAATCCTGCTGAAATCAAACAGTACTCCATCGTAAAGGTATACAAGTATGGTTCCATCTGTTTAGCTGTTGATTTGAGTGCCTTGACTGTCTTATAACATGGTACTAAACTTATGTTATGGGTACTTATCAAAGCACCCCAATGGCGTGCCATGAATAATATTGTCGAGTTATGTATGGTAGTCTGATTAATAAGAATCTCATCCTCTTCAACCTCGTTATTAAGCTCTTCGGCACTATCGTAAACAAATGTAACAATCCAAGTGCCTAAATTAACAGCAATCAAATGCATCATGAGAAAATGGCTATATATCAACAGTTTTTCAGATTTCCCTGACAATTTATAAAAGAAGTACAACTGGGTGTATATAAATATTGTCCGCACTATATAATAGAACAGCATGGTCAAATCCTTGTGCGGGCAGTTGTATTCGGCCACATATTCGAGTAACTCAACCATTGTCAAAAACGAGCTGCCAAGGCCGAAAAACATCACACCAACCAGTAACCGAGTTGGTAATAACTCCTTTACAGGTTCAATGTGACCTGCCAGCCATCCTTGGCGGGCGGCATGCAAACAACATTTGAACGAGCCGATAATAGTCGTAGCCATCCAGAGAATTCCAATGAAAAGAACCACGGTTAAATACCGGTATACTGATGGTGCTGAGATGGGTGTGCCTTTTTTGTCCGTGTCTACTTTGGCTGCGACAAGGAATATAACAGCGGATATAAAGACAAACGCGACGTATGCTAAACTAGCAAACTTTCTCGTACTTAAATCACAGCAACACGTAGTATTACTTGTTGTAACTTCTTGATCAGAGTTTGCCACTGATGTATTAGCCAAGTCTGAAGGATTTACTTCATTCTCAATTGGACTTCCCGAAGTCGAAGGTCGTGATTCTTCTTCCGACATATTTGTACTGTAGTTTGGCGTTCAAAATGTACCCAAAGTTGACGTTTACTGCTCCAAATCCACGCTTGAAATACTTGCAAAGACAAGCGAAGCAAAGCTTATGTTTTACGAGTAAAGATCACCGAGAAAAAAGGACGCCGTTCTGCGTTTCTAGCTTTCCAAGAAGTGCAAAAGAATGATTACTGAATGGGAACTTCCCCTTTCGAATTCAAATGAAATTGATATTTGATACTTGAGCGTATCACGAGTGTATCAAAATACAGTACAGCTTCCGGCCAACCTTTTCCGGTTTCACATGCTATTCAATATTCTCGTGATTGTCACGAGATTTCTTGTTTGTCAAAAACATTTGACAATCAAGATCAGCAGGTCAAGAATATCAGAGCATGTTTACCTAGTGTACAAGGCACGTTTTTAAGGCACGTTTTTAAGGCAAGTTTTATAACAAACATACTTGCAGGGAGGTGAGTCCGGGGTTGGACGCACCGAGGGGGGAGGGGGGGGGGGGGGGGGGGGCTGAAAGTTTCCCGGGTTCGGGAAACTTCCAGCCATCCGAGGTGCGTCCAATCCCGAACTCGGCGAACCTCCAAGTATGTTTTGGTTTTTATCACATTGGCTTTCGGTAAAATGTACTGACGAATTTACGCCAGCAGGCGGCCAAAAGGATAGCCCCGCCTCGTCCCTCGTCGCTTCAGTATCGAATAGAGGGAACGTTAATAAATAATTGTTCCTCACATTTTATTAATCCTAAAATTATTTTATACTACGTTTCCTAATCGATATTATAGTTTATACAATTTGTTCTTTCCCTAGGACTACGTTTTATATTGATTTGATTAATTGTTAAATGTGCTATAGACAATTTAGTTGTTCCATGTTTTCGTATGTGTAAGGCGACTGATGAATAGTGTACATACCGGTTGGATGAGCGACTGTCGAATACCTTATGAGAGTTCTCCAATTGGGGCACTATCAAGCCAAAGATTGTGCATAAAAACATACAAATTGTCCGTCACCGACACCTTAAAATGTAGGAAAGTTGATTCAGTTCTAAACTGCTTTTATCTAGAGGTCTAGTTTATAGTGCCATCTCTTACATTGAAGGGTCATCACGAAAACCAAAATTAAACTAACTTTATTTATACTGGATAGCTCTGCAGATCTAAACTGTTCTTCCTAAAGGTCCAGTAACGATCATCTCTTATTGATCCAGTATATTCCACTACAGGAGGAAACCTAAGCTAAACTAACTTCATTTATACTGGATAGTTCTAAACTGTTCTTCCTAGAGGTCCAGTAACGATCATCTCTTATTGATCCAGTGTTACTACAGGAGGAAACCTAAGCTAAACTAACTTCATTTATACTGGATATCTCAAGGGATATCTCTATCAGTTTTAAACTGTTCTCCCTAGATGTTGAGCGCGATCTCTGCGGTACTGACCTTGTAAGGTGTGGGATTCAGAGTTCTGAGATGGTCTCCTCTCAAGCTATTCAAAGATTGTTGAACATGTTCCCGCGACTCCGATATTGATGGTACGGACTCTTGTAACTTTTAATAAAGAGATAAAAAAAAAACATATTAGACGCAAAGAACAAAATAATACATAACCATTATTGATCTGGTGTTACTACAGGAGGAAACCTAAACTGAATTAACTTTATTTATACTGGATAGTTCTATCAGTTCTAAACTGTTCTTCCTAGAGGTCCAGTAAGGATTATCTCTTATTGATCCAGTGTTACTACAGGAGGAAACCTAAACTGAATTAACTTTATTTATACTGGATAGTTCTATCAGTTCTAAACTGTTCTTCCTAGAGGTCCAGTAAGGATTATCTCTTATTGATCCAGTGTTACTACAGGAAGAAACCTAAACTAAACTTCTTTATTTATATTGGATAACATTGTCAGTTCCGAGAGAGGCCATTGAATATCCACCTTTCCATCTTTCCAGTAAACTTTGTAAAGGTTCTCAATTTTTGAAGGTGAAACCCAAGCCCTTTTGTTCTCCAAGACTGGATGTCGACAGAGAATGCGCGAGTCAACCTTGGGAACCTCTTCTTTACGTTGTGTCATTAGATCTACCAGTGCCTTCCCTATTCACAAAAAAAAAAACAAGTGAATACAGTGGTACCAATGATATCATCAACTGCTCACGAATGTGCGGTAAACACCCAGTCAGATGATGGAAGATCAACTCATGTATTCTCATCAACTTTGAGCTGGTTTAATTTTTGATGACCGTTAATGAGACGTTTTCCTCGTTTCACCGTCAGTCAACTCTCATCAACATTCAAATTCTCGTTTGATCGGGGCATGAGAGTTGAGAAAACTCTCATGCAAACTCTCAACTCTCATCAACTCTCATGCAACTCTTGTTCTCGTTTGACCGGGGCTATGAGAGTTGAGAAAACTCTCATGCAAACTCTCGCTTCTCAACTCTCATCAACTCTCATGCAACTCTTGTTCTCGTTTGACCGGGACATGAGAGTTGAGAAAACTCTCATGCAAACAATCGCTTCTCAACCATCATGAACTCTCGTGCAACTCTTGTACTCGTTTGACCGGGACATGAGAGTTGAGAAAACTCTCATGCAAACTCTCGCTTCTCAACTCTCATCAACTCTCATGCAACAACCCTTGTTCTCGTTTGACCGGGACATGAGAGTTAAGAAAACTGTCATGCAACTCTTGTTCTCGTTTACCGAGGCATGAGAGTTGAGAAAACTGTCATGCAAACTCTTGCTTGTCAACTTTCATCAACGTTCATCTTCATATTAACCTACATCGCCTAACTTACCATCGTGTCCATACAGTCGATAGAGATTCTTCTCTCCAGGAATAGAGACTTTTTCCACATCCTCGCTAAGTTTCATTCGCGGGCTGCCAGAAATTTCAATAAGCTATAAAACAAAAGATGTTAAAATGACCCAACAGTCGAGTGGCCAACCAAGATCCGACTGACGTAACTGCAACCGTTTTACTTACTTTAAAAACACAACCAAGCGCAGGCTGTTTCTGACATGTGACCAAATGCGTACCAATACCAAATGAATCGATACTATGACCCTATAGAAAACAAATAATGAATATTATAAACAGCAGCCGTTACTCGACCCCTAGGAAGAACAGTTTAGAACAGGTAGAGTTATCCAGTATAAATAAAGTTAGTTTAGTTCAGGTTTCCTTCTGTAGTAACACTGGGTCAATAAGAGATGATCCTTACTGGACCTCTAGGAAGAACAGTTTAGAACTGATTAGTTTAGTTTAGGTTTCCTCCTGTAGTAACACTGGGTCAATAAGAGATGATCCTTACTGGACCTCTAGTGAGAACAGTTTAGAACTGAAAGAGCTATCCAGTATAAATAAAGTTAGTTTAGTTCAGGTTTACTTTTGTAGTAACACTGGGTCAATAAGAGATGATCCTTACTGCACTTCAAGGAAGAACATTTTAGAACTGATAGAGCCATCCAGTATAAATAAAGTTAGTTTAGTTCAGGTTTTTATACGTGACAGACAACAACCTGTTGGTTTAGAGATAACAATGTGTCTTCGTTGATGTCATTACTTGCTACAATACTTGCATTCTCTAACCAAGGAACGTTAAACCTAAAGAAGTTAAACAAACATACCTGTTTAAGCTAAAGCGAATGGAACGGGACTATGGGTGAGTTGCATTAATAATGCGTTACTGGGTAGCAGACGCGATGGTCAATTTCGGAAATGTTGATACTTAAAAGGAGCAAGAAAATTAAACTACATCTCTCGATTCTATTTATTTGCCTCCAAATAAAAGACTACTACATTTAATGAAAAGAATGAACATTATTTTCTCACTCTGATAACTGCAGGTTGACCAACATCTGCTGCACGATACTGCTTTGTGAAACCCCTGCATGTATATCTCTTTTATCGCAAATATGAAACAGAAGACTTACTTTTCTGCGACAAGTTTAAATACTCTTCTCACTTCTCGTGATAAATACGCCAAATCCCCTGAGTCCAGACGAATGCCAACGGCACGATAACCAAAGTCGTGAAGTGTCAATGCAACAGCACAGAAATTAGGCAAGCCACTCCTTTACAAAGGAAGAAATATCATGTAAAGAAAACGACGGCGATGCTAATCATTTTCCATGCTGCTTAAAAAAGGGGCCAGTCGGAGGCTTGCTAGGGTGCCTCTGGCTTGCCACCATACAGTACGACCCATTCTGATCACAGAGCACATCTAAAAGGTCAGAAGGACGTCCAGGCGTCCTGGGACGCACTACAACGAACGCCTTTGGACGGCCAAATTCTGGGGGAAGGGGAAATTATTCTCAACGACTTCCCTATAAATATATTAATATAGGTGAAACGAAATACCTTCAATTTTGAATATTATTATACAGTTTGATGGTTACCCGGTTGAACAGCGGCACAAATCTCACAAAGTCAGGGGTGTTTGAAAAATTTCGAATGAGCTTTAGTAGTCTGAACAGATACTGACATGAAATAATGTAAACCTCGAATACTATTTAAGAGTCTCAGACCCAAACTTCAAAGGTTTTCTAGAAGAACGTTTTCTCCCCCCCCCCCCCCCCCC